GAAATTGCCTGGATTTAAAAAAAAGAAGGTAAGGAATAATGCTCTTCCAGGACAGAAAAGGAAGACCTATTTCCCTTCCTTTCTCTAGTTTTATTGTCACCAACAAGAAAACCGTATTTAATCAGAGCATGGCCTCGCTCCCACGGGTTTCAATCAAAATGGTCACTGATGAAAAATACTTGCCCTTGTTTTCTTGTGTGAACTGTAGCCAGTGATACTGTAAACCCAGTGCTGTGCTGGAATAATAATGAAGAAGAATCGAAGTTTCTGATTGATTCCTACCTCTTGATTTCCTAACATATCCTGCTATTTTAGGTACAAAACCTATGCCCCACAATCTCCAAGCTTTAATCTTTAATTGACGTGCAAGATGCTGGCAACACGTGCCAACAGAATTAGAGAACAGAAAAAAACCAAGATAACTTGAGCATCTGTGGGATTAGTTTGGTGACTTCTTCATCCATTTATAATTATAAAACATAATACTGCAAGTGTGTACATGTGTCTAATCAGCTGATGGCTCTGTTACACAGCCCTTCTGACCTCTCTCCTGTTTCTGTGCTCACACCTTGTCCTTCCAGGTGGCCACTGGGAGCCTCTTCTCTTTGCACCTCGGTTTGTGGGGTCACTCACCCACGGCCCCGTGACTAATCCTCACACCCCAACTGGCTACTTTGAGTCTGAAACAACATTCAGAGAAATGAAACTAAAAAAGGAGGAGTTTCTGAGCAGACAGGAGACAGGGTGGGGGGTGGAAGAGGCAACGGCCAGGTCCAAAAATCAGTCAGGTGGTTCCTGGGCTTCAGAGCAGCCCATGAATCCCTAATTACAGGTGTGGATGCAGAAGGCTCTGCCTTCAAATCTTGCACGTCTGAGTTCCAGTGATTCACATCCAAAGCTGTTGCTGCATTGTCTTGAACTCAGGGAAGGTTCCAGCCTAAAATCTCTGGCACAGGAAGTTCAGCTTCCTCTCCAGATTTCCTTCCTCCACCTCCTTACATGCAGAGCAGCAGGGAACACACTGGAGCCTCCACGGGGAGAGTGAGAGCTCTTGAGGCTGCAGAGCAGCTGGAGTTTGGAGCCAACACCTTCAGCTGGAGAGTCCCAGGGGGGCAGCACAGACCAGGGGTTCTTAGTGCCCCAAAACTTCCTCAGCTGCTGAGCTGTGGTTTGGAACTGCACCCAAAGCTGCCCCCAGTCCATAATCACACATGATCACCGTGGGTACAGGTGACTCTTGGTGACATCCATCCCATTTCCACAGTGAATTGGGTAAAGCTGTTCTCCGTGGCAGTGGGGAATTTGCCCATAATGTAAATTCGTCACAAATGCAAGAAAAACTATGGAAAGCCAGGTATGGATCATGTCAATGCCTAAGATATCACTAATTTTAAAGGGCTAATTTCACTTCTTAGATTTTTATCTAGGCTTTGGTGTCCTTTAAAAACAGCTTGCTACACACCAGGCCGAGGGCCAGGCAGTCCAGTTGTCACAGAATCCCAGAACATTCTGAGTTGGAAGGGACCCACAAGGATCCCTGAGTCCAGGTGAAGTGAATGGCTCATACAGGGGACTGAACCCGTGAGTCTGAACCAACTGAGCTCATCTCGGGGTCAGCTTGAGCCTCAAACCAAAACAGGCAGGAAATCTGTGAATGGCACTGTAGCTGGAGGCTGGTGTTAAGTTTGGGAGAATGGTGATGCCTGAGTGTGTTAGAAACCTCAGTGTGCAGAAACAGGCCCTGATCTGTGTGTCTGTGCCTGTGCAAAGCCCTCAGGGGGATCTCAGCAGCAGTATCTCCACAGAGTGAAGCCCTCACTAGAGCTGAACTGAGCTGGCAAGGCACTGGTGCAGCTCTCGATGCTTCCAGTTCTGGAATCTGCCTGTGGAGCTGTCTCTGGGATGTGTGGCTGTGCTACCAGAGCTCCAGTGCACGGTGTACATGTTCCCTACAAAAATTCCCTCCTGCTCAAACCCAGCGTGCTGTACTGGCAGAGTGTGTGTGACTAAGCTCCTCCAAGCAGAGTTTATTCCATCACCAGCCCATCTCCTGAACAGAATGTGCCATACTGGGGGAAAAGAGCAGAGGCAGCCCCTGCTCCTGTCCCTGTCCCCAGCACAGCTGGAGCAGCAGCGTGAGGGGGAGCCTGCACAGCTCATCCTTCCCCCGAGCCACAACACGGGCTATTCTGGGCTGGGAAGAGGACAGGCAGGGAGCTACAGCCCTGTCAGACCCCTGGATGGAGTGTTTCTGTTCCCAAGATCTCACAAGTGCCCAGAGCCGGGTTCAGCTGCAGCACAGGCTCAGCAAAGCCATTACTGGAAATAACCTCCCCTGCCTCTCCAGCCAGGGCAGAGCGTGCCCTTGGATCCCGGGAGACACGTGTTCCCAGCGCCCAGCCTCCCACCAGGCTGGAAAAACCGACCTGGAGGCACAGCCAGGGCAGTCACCTCAGTGCCCAGTGCAAGGGCTGGCCTGGGGCAGCAGGGAGGGCTGAACACCCACATTATTCACCCCAGAGAGCAGGAACCAGGAGGGTCACTGAGCTGCAGTGAGCAGGAGATTAATAAATAATAAATAGGAGCAGCATCAATTACCAGTGCCAAAGGGGGATGCTGTATCTGGATGCAGTTCTGCTGACTGGGGCATATTGGTAAACCACAGAGTGCTTTTAGCTTCCACCCCGACATTAATTTTGGCAGTGGAAAGAGGTTTTATTAAAAGTACTGAAAATGTCATTCATCTCTATTCCTATTGCATTTGTTACGAGGATTTAAACCCCGACATGGAGCTATGGGGAGATGCAAGAATTGAAATGGACTCATCTGATCATAAAAATAAATGAAACCTTAAACAGAAGCTCACGTTTTAAACGGTGAGAAGCACATTTGTGTATTATATTTCTAGTACTGTAAGGTGGTACTGATATGACCTGTTTTTCAAGGTTGTTTTTTTTCTTTAAGGTGTTCTTTTTAAATCCTTTTGCAAACCAAATTATCTGTAGGTACCTTATGACAGCAGCCCTCAATCCATAGGGGAAAAAAAATATTAAATAAAAGGTAGGAATGTGGAGAAATGAAACCATTCAATTACTGTTTCAAAATATTAAATTCAGAGGAAACAAATCTATTCTCTGAAGCACTATCCAGTAACCTAAGCTGTTCAAAATACTGCTGTAAGTTCACTTATTCAAAATTGTCCCCAGGTTTTGTGCTTGTTCATGGTGACACCATTGGGGAAAGGGGGTGGCTTATGTTACTTTGACTATTTTTTAATGTATCCCTTGACCCTTTTGAACTTCTTAGTCCAAACCTGTTTGTGTTTTAAGGTTTATCAAAATATTTCCCATCAAAATTATTTCTCCAATGAATGTTTTGGCTCGACTAAGCATAAATATACATGTAGAAGGGCTTAATTTTTTCCAGCACATCTAATTGTCTTTGTATAAAAACTCAGTTTTTCATGTTGTTTAATTACTAATACATTAATTTTTCCCAAGAAACTTCCCACTGGCTGAAACACACACAGATATTTCCACATCTTGGAAAATACCCAAGAAGGATTCCAACTTTTCTCGTCCTCTTTTGGAAACATGAATTCAATAAGCACGTTCTTTCCAGCAGGTGCTCACAAGAAAGGGGTTTGCAGAATCAGGATCTTTGCTGACAAGTGTCCGGGATTTGGGATATTTGCTGTGCCAGAATCCCAGAGGTCCCATGAAAGTTCTCTTTTTGTAACTCAGAACGACCCACCCTCCCCTTGCTCAAGGGACATGAACTTCCCCAGGAGTGTCGAGCTTGGCTGCAAGTTCTTTCATTCTGAACTGTATTTTGCTCAGTCCCAGCACATTTTCCCAAATAAATACTTCCTCTTGGAGTACAGGATGTAACTATTACTGAATCTTACATTACTAGCTATTGCAATTAAATTAATAACTATTGAACTTTCTAAGGACCCCTCATCCCTTTTCTTTACTGCAATTAGGCTTTGTTTGACTAAACAGAGATTCTCCAGGGACTGTGGTACAAGTCCCCCAACCCTAAATATTTTTGCTTCATGAATGCAGTTTTTGTTGCCTGGATTCTCTCCCTCAGCTGCAGGTAAGGCTCTCAGAGAGCAGTGCTCCTGAGAGTAATTCCAGTGTTTGGGAGCAGCTTCCCCAGGACACGCACCTGCTTTCCAAAGCTGCTGGCAGGGATGGAAGAATGTTCTCTGGGAATCTGACACGTAGCTAGGTAAGCAAATCCTTTCTGTGTCTGAAGGTTTCACCTTCACCACTGCTCTGGTGAGCTTGGCACCACAGAAAGTTCAGGAGCCAGGCTGAATTCTCAGGGTGGATTTTAAACTCAGCATCTCCTGGGTGCCAGTTGTTTTTCTGTTAGTTGCTCAATAAGACAATTAACCCCTTGAGGAAAGTCCCTTTAAATGGGGAAATATCAGGCTTTAGGCTTTCACTCCAACTGCTTAATCAGCATCCATGCAACTGTTCCTCACCAGATGACTTAAAGGGTGACCTACATGTGTGCAGCTGGCTGGGTGCATGTGTGTGTGTCTGCAGAACTGTAGAACCTGATTTCTAGGATTATTATAATGTTATTGTTGCTATCATATTATTTCCCAGGAGCACTTTTAAAAGCCAAGCTACAGCTTGCAAATTTAATGGTACAGCACCAAATGTAAACCTGTAACACACACCTGAGCACTAGAAGAACCAGCACAGGGAGGAGAGCTCTGATACAATTGTGATTGTAGGGGGAAAAAACCCACCCAAACCCCAAATCTTCTGGCTCTCCCAATGTGGGTTTGCATGAAGAAAAGGGGGGGAAAAAGGAGAATTGGTGGCTGGGAAGTGTACAAACAGGCTTGGACCAACCGTAAGACACCTGTATATGTTTCAAGGTTAGAAGATGAAGAACAACTAAAGGATCAGAACAGAGCTGGCTCCCAGCAGAGTTCTGCATTTTGTTGAACAAATATTCATATTGATCACAAACCTGCATATTTGTACCACGCTGTAGGAATTTAGCACAGTGTAAAATTCTGGTGCTGACTGCAAGGAACACTGGATCCAGGTTCCACCAACCCCAGCGTTTCATCTCCCTTCTTTCCACCAGCTGCCCAGGGTTAGTGGCTCAATAATTTCACATCGTTGTCCCTCAGTTCCCATGGAGGGACTTGCAAAGTCTCTCAGCAATTCTGAGCCAACTGTCCTTGAACCCACTTGAGATCAACCATCCCAATCCTCACCACAAGTAAGAAGTTCAGGATCATCTCCCTGATGATCATTAGTTGGGAACTCAGGTGTATGGACTTTGCTGCCTTTGTGTCCTGAATTACATGCAGCCTCTCAGAAGCAGTTCCCCTCACCTTAAAACACTGTCAATTATATTCTCCTCAGACTCCAACAGTTTTGCTAATTTTATGTGATGTTCTCAGAAGTCGTTTAAAATAACTCTTTTGTTCCATAATAACAGGGAAACCGAAAGAAACTGTGAGAATGCAGAATGTAACTAAGGAGACTGAGCTACTCCTACTTTTTGCTCTGCCTGCCCTCCCTGAGCATTTCTGTTCAGTGTGCTTTTACTGATTTATTTCCTTTAATGAACCATCTTGATATTCTGCTACCTGGGTCCTTCCTCGGGAAGGAGCAGCCATGGTTGTCAGTCAGCTGTTAAAGAACTGGCAAATAACAGCAGGTTGGAACAGTTCTGAACCAGGGTTTGAAAAATAAAACCATAGTTAAGAAAAAAAGAGTTCTGAACAGACTCGGGAAGGAAGCTGAAATTTAAACATTGTAAAAGCTTCGTTTAATTTGGGTGGGAAGTCGGGAGAAAGGAGGGCTCTGCATTGATTTTGGGACCAAATGGAGAACTGCAAACTGGATCAAACACACAGAAATGTCTCTGTGGACCTCCCCAGGTTTAACAGAATGCACACCACAGCAATCAAAGGAGACACGGGCAGGCAAATTATTATGGAAGGGGAGACAGTGCTGGTGTGATTCTGGGGTATGAGCTGGTCCTTGGAATTATTATTTTGAGTAAGTCTATTAGAAACACTTACCTGAAGTCAGAAATAGAGAAAGAAAGAGGGAAAACATAATTATTTATTACTTCAGCAGTATTCTTAATCCACCTGAGGAGCTATGCAATTTTGAGAAGTGCTGATCTTTCACCTTTTTTTTACAGAGCATAATTTACACCCTAATGGTGACAGTCCTTCAGGGATCAGGAGCATCTTGAGTCACCATAAGAACCATGCAATACATTGCAATACAACAACAATGTGTAAATTTTTTATGGCAACAATGCTGTTTGCATGCAAAAAACCAATTTATGAAGTGGGACTGCCTAAAGATTCACCTCACTCAGGATGCTCCCCACAAAGGGGTTAATAACAGCAGCTGGTTGAGAAAAAGGGGCAAGAAATTTTGCAACTGAGGACTATGGAGCAACCTGCTCACAGAGCTTCTTTACATCTCACCCAGGCTTCAGGAGAAAAACTGCTATTTTTGTGTGAGCTGACCCAGTCCTGGCCTGTGTGGAAGCCCCAGGTTTGAGAAATGTCACCATTTGGTGAAATTCTGCGAGTTACATTTATTTCAGGTGTTTTGATTTGCTTCGGCTACACCAGCTACCAAATGGCCCAACCAAAAAAACCAGAATATTTGGGTTTGTCAGTTAGTTGTCTATACTAGATCTTCAGGTTTTAGCAGACCTTTTCAGCTAGAATTTTAATTACAAACAATATTTTTGTAGTATGCAGAAGCAGAGCAAGTCATACAGTGAATAGGTCCATTTATTTCTGGTGACCTGCTGAACTACAAACCAGGGCAGTTTATGGACCTGTGTGCACATGCAAGAAAAGGGAGGTTAAAAATGTAAAAGAAATTAAAAAAAAATGAAGATAATGCACAGCACAGGGCCGTGTGAGGGCATCAGAACAAACCACTGCACTGTGAGACTCTTCTGACAGATTTTAAAATGCAGCCAAACTGATTTGTCCAGTGAGATTTGCAAAGCAAGCCCCACCCAGCCCACGTGGAACAACCCTCCCCTCTGCAAACAACCACTTCCAGCCCTCATAATCCCGCTCCATAATAGCAGGATAACTGTGTATCAATCCAAATTTTCACTGGAGAACAAGATAGAACTGAGTCACTGCATCAGAAACAGGAACTGTTGCAACAGTTGTATTTTTACAAAAGGAGAGGTGTGGTGGGAGCATTAGCTCTGTGTACCTGTGGGAGAAACACTTGGGATAGTTGGGTTTCCTTACCCAAATTCCATGGATTTGAGGGCATGGCACAGCACAGACCTGTGGGCAGAAACACCTGTCAGCTCTCAGAAAACAGAGAATGCACAAAAATTGGGATGCAAGAAAATGAGAGATTCCTAGGAGAGGGTAAGGTCTGAATGGGTGGTTTATTTAAAAAAAAAAATCCCTATATTTGGGTACTACAATTGTCCAACTACTAAAAGCACGTAAGGGAAATATAAGGAAGAAAAGCAGTAAGTATTTGTATGATAAGGAATGTGCAGTGAGAAAAAAGCATGCATTAGTTTTTAATGGTGTACTTTATAATGACATAATTCATTACATAATTAATTCACACAACAATTCTTCTAGTCCAGTAACAAAATCTCAATGCCATCACTTTCTAGAAGTAACAAAATGTGATTTTCTCTTTGTTATGAACCTCAGAATGTTATTTTTGTTCACTACACAGATTTTTTTTCAGTATGATCCAGCATCAGGTAAAGATTTTCCACAAAATCTGATAAGACACATGAATTTTCCTTTACAAAACAGGGATTTTTCTCTTCCTCTCTTCCTTTTTTTTTTAATCATTTGTGTTTGTAATTTTTTTTCCCTGATGTAGCAAGTGGTCATTCTTTTCCTCACAAATTGTGGTGTATTCCCAAGAGGGTATTTCAATCTCTGCTGAGTCTAAAAGCAATCTCTAACTTAAAAAAAAAAATAAAAAAAAAAATCATGCAACTTGCCTCCTATAAATCTCCCTGAGATTTTATGACTTAAATGTTGTGTGTAACTGCTTTTAAAATCTCTAGAAAACTTTGCAAATATCTAATTAACTTGTGGTGGTTCTTAAGCACTGAGATTTAATCAGTGTTTTCCAGATGGGAGTGCTGGATGAATCCCTGGCCTCAAGAACACTGACATTCCCATCTGCATACATGTGGTTCCACAGATTTTAGTGGGATAATTCCTGTCCACAATGCACATGTACATGTATTTCTTTCAGGGGTGGAAGAGAAATTATTTCCCCATGGTTACTGATGGAATACAAGCAATTTGGGACAATAATTCAAGAATAATTTATCCTAATGTCAGGAAACTTCTTGTTTTGCTATTTGTAAATCTCAGGGTGACAAATTAAAGCTTTGGTGCATCATAAATGTTACTTAAAAACAAACATTTGATTATTGCAAAACCAAGGTTTAACCACACCAGGATCTAATAGTTTTTCATAACAGACAACCTGAATAATAGCCAACCCACTTTCCTGCAGTTTAATTGGCAAACCTGCTCTTTCCCTTACTAATTACAGGTAACCACACCTCCCTTCAGAAAGCACGACAGCAAGGAACAGTTTGGTTTAAATTCTGAAGAAGCAAGAATCTTCTAGGGGGAGAGTTTGCAGGAAAAGCAGCCAGGTAATGTCAACTCTTTAACAAGGTATAAACAAATAAGGGGGGAAAAAAACCCCAGATTTACCCTGTTGGAGGAGGAAAAGGGATGCAATACTGTATGAATACTTACTTTTCAATGTTAATTAGGGTTTCAGTACATGAGTTGTGGTGTGAAATGATCCCATCTTGGAAACATCTCTCCTGCCTGGTTTACGTGAGGCCCAGTCTATAAGACAGAAATTACATTTTTTTTTTTTTTTTTTAACGTTAATTAATTTTTTCTACTTTCTCTTCCGTGCAAACCCTTCCAGACCAGTGATGGAGGTTGTGAGGAGAATATGAAAAGAAGGCTCTGGAAGCTTTGGTTGTGTGAGCACCTTTATTGCCAACACTGGGAAAAGAGAAGTTCTAAGCTACGGAATTGCCGCTCGTCGAGTTCCTGAGGGAAAGATCACAGAATTGTGGAATAGCTGGGGTTGGAAGGGACCTTTGGAGATCCTCCAGTCCAACCCCTCTGCCCAGGCAGGGTCAGCTGGAGCAGGGGACACAGGGACACATCCAGGGGGGTTGGGATGTCTCCAGAAGGGGCCACCTCCATGGAAAGAAGTTCTGCCTCGTGCTGAGGTGGAACTTGTGTTTTAGTTTATGGCCATTGCTCCTCATCCTGCCCTTGGGCACCACTGAACAGAGTCTGGTACCATCTGCCTTGGAGATATTTGTATGGATTGCTCAGATCCCCTCTCAGCCTTCTCTTCTGTGGACTAACCAGGCCCGACTCCCACAGCCTCCCCTCACAGGATGGGATACCAAGGTATTTATTGCTTTCCAGCCCTCTGCGAGCAGCATTTGAAGGCCTGTGGCCCTCCCTTCCCACCCTTGTGGGAACCCCGGGCAGCCCCGAGCCCTCACGTTCCACACGCTGAGGGGGCCCCGTGTCTCTGCCCGCCCTGCGCTCCGTGCCAGCCCCTCCGCTCCCGCACCACCATCCGCGGGGCTGTTCCCTGCCTTTTTTTTTTTTTTTTTTTTTTTTTTTTTTTTCCCCCCCCCCCGCCCCCTTTTTTTTTTTTTTTTTTTTTCCCCTTCCCGGCCTGCAGGGCCGGCGGGGCGGCCGCGAACCCTCCTCGCTCCGCCCGCCCGCGCCCTTTGTTCGCGCTGAGGGGGCGGGAGCGCGCGCGCAGGGCGGGAAGCGGGAGCGCGAGGGAGAGCGAGAGCGCGCGCGCGCGCGTGCGGCCGCCGCCCCGCCCGAGGGGCCGAAGGGCGTTGCCCGGCCGGGAGCGCGCACACACACACACACCACACACACACACCACACACACACACCACACACACACCCGCACCCCGCGAGGCGCACGGGAGCGCGCACACCGCCCGCCCGCCCCGGCCGCGCTGGGCGGGTGCCCGGTGGAGGCGGCGGAGCCTCCGGTGAGAGGCTTCGGCTGGAGGGAACGCGCCGGGGGCTGCGCGGGGCCGGCGGAGCCTCCGGTGAGAGGCTTCGGCGAGAGGGGCGGCGGGGCCGGGGCGGGGCGGGAGCCGAGCCGGGGTTTCCCGGGCGGGCAGCACGGGCGGGGCGGAGGGAGGAGGAGGAGGAGGGAGGTTCGCCGCGCCCAGGCTGCCGCTGCCCGATGGCTGCGGGGAGCTGAGCGGGCTGAGGAGGAGCCGAGCCCCAGCGACACCCCCCTTCCTTGCCGCGGATCCCTCCTTCCCGCCCGGCTCTGCCGCCTTCCCCGGGACCCGCCGGGCGCAGCGCGGGCGGCTCCCCCCGCTCCTCCTCCGCCGCCTCCTCCTCCGCCCCCCCTTCCCTTCCCTTCCCCAGGCCGGCGGGACGCGGGCAGGACCGCGGGCGGCGGACGGACCGGCCCGGTTCATGAGCAGCGGCCGGCAGGGCAGGTAACCGTGTGTGTGAGGGGAAGGAGGGCGGGGGTCCCCTCGGAGCGGCGCCTCCCGCCCGCCGAGCCCCGGCCGGCCCCACCCCGGGGCCATCTTCGCTCGGCTCCCCCTCAGCCCCGCGCCTTCCCCTCCCCCGCGCTTCCTCCTTCTCCTGCCGCACTTCTCCTTTCTCCCTCTCCTTTTCCCCTCCCGCCGCACCGGGGAGGGGGCCCTGGGGCCGCCTTCTCCCTCCGAGCCCCCCGCCCGTGGCGGGGCTGGGAGTCGCCCCCCCCTCCCCGGGGCTCCAGCCTCCCCTAAAAAAGAAGTGTGTTTGTAGCTGGAGGAGGAGGGGGAGGAAAAAAAAAAAAAAAAAAAAAAAAAAAAGGTGGGGGTGGGACTGATTCGCCTCCCGAAGGCTCCCAGGCGAAAAGGGAGGAGACCTCGGATCTTGCGGGGTTCCATTTTTAATTGTAATTACGCCGTGGTGGTGGTCCCCGCCAGACGGTTTTGGGGAGGGGAGGAGTGTGTGTGTGGGGGGGTCTTTTCTTATAAAGGCACAAAAGGCGAGTTTCCCGAGCGATCCAGGCGGCAGAGGGAATATTTGGAGAGAGATTCAAGGAGGAAGGGGGGGGGGTTAAAAACAAAAAAAAGAAAAAAGAAAAAAAAAAGCAGAAGAAGCAATGGTGTGGCTGCTGTAATGGTGGAAAACTGATTAAGAGGAGCCGGGGGTGAGACAAACAGGGTAAGGCTGCTCCCGGCACCCCGAGCCAGCCCAGGGCTCGCAGATGGGGTGTGCTGGGCGAGGGAGGGGTGGGGAAGGGTTTGTTCTCGCTAAAATCACAACCCAGGATGGATTTAGACCGCATATTTGTTGTTCCCCCCCCCCCCCCCGTGTATTACGGCGCTGCATATTTCTGTGTGCCCGTAGCAGCGGTAACGAAGATCATGGAGGGTGTTTGCTACAATAGGAAGATGGAGTTTCCTCCTCGGAAAATGCTGTTTAAAATATCGTTTCGGTTCCCTGCTTTTTGTTGTAAGGATTTTCGGCGTTAATTTTTTTTTTATTTTTTTTTTTTAATCCGCGCAAGGGGCAGGGAACCGTGTGGGTTTTTTGATCCTACAGCTTTGTAGGGAAGGAAGATGTGTAAAACCTTGCATGTAAATGCGAGAGAGACAGGGCGTTTTATTAACAAAAAAACCCTGTCCGGGAGAAAAATCAGAATGATGTAGAGGTTGTAAGATGTCGATTTATCATTGCTGAAGACGAACTGAAATTTTAACGAATGCCATATTTCATTATTCTCTAACAAAGTCATGGTCGGGACTCGTTGTTTTAAGGCAGGCATCCTCTCTAGGATGCCGACTGCCACGTTATTATGTATTGTCTCCACAGGAGGAAATAGGAGGAAAGGGCTGTAAATGTAAGGCTTAAGTGATTATTGAAACAGCTTTTGAGAATAGTTGCCTCAACTTGGGGAGGTGATTTAAGACTGAAAAATCGCACATTTTGCTGCTGTAGAATATCCACACCCAGTCGTGAGAGTTTTATCCCGTATTTTAAAAGCTGATCTGGACACAAGGATGTGAGTCAAGGCAAAACGCTGTCGGTGTGTCTGTGAAATGCGTGAGAGGAAACGAAGGCGACCCGTTAATACCTAAATTTCGTTCTAAATGTAATGGCTCGGAGTTCCTCTCCTTCCCCTGGCGTGCTCCAGGAGAGGAGAAGGGGAAGGGGCGATAATAGTGTAGTTGTTTTGGTGGCCGCAGATTAGCCGAGGGTGTGTGTTTGATTTCTCTTTTTCGCTGTGAATGAATGGATCTCTCTGTGCCTGGGCCCAGTAGCTGCAACAAGATGGCGTTTGCAGCAAGGCAGCTCTCATTTTTCAACTCCTCCTCACCACAGCTTTGCCAGACTGGATCTTATTTCGTAATTGTGTTTTAGATTTTTTTACTTTCTCGTTCTCTTTGCCTTCTTCTGTTCTGGGCTGGGGGAGGGGGGGGTTAGGGAGGGCGTTTTGGAAGATCGCTGGGAGAAATCTGGTTTGTTTTTTTTTTTTTTTTTCCCCCTTAATTTTTTTGTGAGCTTCTCCAGATAGGAACTAGGTGGGAGGAGTAAATAGTTTTATTGAAATGTTCGCGGAGGCTCTCGCTGGATAAAGGGGTGACACGATTTTCGTTCCTACCTCGCGGTGCCTGCTTAATGCCATCCAAATGCTCCTGGCTTTTGTCAAGCCTGTTGCTGGAAAAGCAGTTTTTAAGCCTGGAGCACAGGCATCCAAAGGCCCTGCCGGGCTGGGGCTGGGTCTCTGTGAGCCAGGTGACCATCAGAGGAGCCCCCCTGCACACAGGTACCCTTCTGTAACAAAGGACAGTCTCCCACCTGCTCCAGAATTCAGAGCTGGAGGCTCTTAAGGCTGCTTTTGACCCAGAATTATTGCCATCCTCCAGGTAACTGTCCTTTTAATGGGCAAGAATAAGAAAGGTTTAGGGGGTATTAAAACAGTTCTGTGTCTGTGAAGTGCTCTGTTTTAAAATGACATTGCAAATTTCTAAAGCCTTTTTGTGTGTGTTTTTCGGTGTCTTTTAAGAAAAAAGGGCTTTCGATTTGCAACTTCTGTGGTATTTCACTCTGGTGCCAAACTCCTTAGCTTTGGTAGCCTAAATAAAATAGCTTGGTTAGTGTTTGATATACTGGACTCAGGCTTAAAACAATACACTTCCCAGCAAGAAAAATAAGAAATGCTTGTTATGTCTCCCGTATTCAAATGACCTCCAAACCTTTGGTAGTATCAACCTTTTTAGTACTGTTTATCTATGACTTAATGTATAATCAGTTGTTTGTTAGTTTATTGTAGTAGCCCAGCTGTAGTTCGTGCAGAAGGAAGCTGGGAAGCAGAAGAGCTGATTTTCAGTTCAGGCTTGTGGTGGTGTTGTTTTTTTAAATTAAAAAAAAAAAAAAGCTGAAATTAGCAGAGTGCATTTTATTCCTCTAGTTTTTCAGGAACAGTTTTTTAAATGAGAATACTGTGCATGTAAACATCCATTTGATGTTAATGTGCTGTTGAACTCGAAATTTTTGTGCAGTTTTTTTTTGTTACTGCTCCTTTGGCCTTTCAGTACAGGATCAGAAAGGAGCAGGGTGAAGTGGGATTCTGTTTTGGGTAAGATAAATTACATTTATCCTTGTTGAGTCCTTGCAGCTGCTCAGTCAGTACGTAGCAAGCATCCTACCATGAAATCTTTGACAACATGGTAAATTAAAATTCCACAGGAAACCTTAGCAGAACAGTTTTTAAATCACCTCCATGCCTCATGGAAATCTGAAGATGTTGCATTTGGACTTAATGGGAATTCTTCTTTGTGTAAGTAATCCATGAAGTTTTGTACAATTAGGGAGTGTGCAGAATTTTGTGGAGCCTTATTCTTAATGTCATGCAAGAAGAAACCCTTGATACCATCCAAGAAGAAACCCTTGATACCATCCAAGAAGAAACCCTTGATACCATCCAGAAGAAATACTCTACAGCTATGAAGAATTTTAAAACTGGAACCAATAAACTAGTTTACTTAAAATAAGAAAATCCTTCAACTAATGCAATTAATTTAATTGCAGTAGAAATATATATATATTTTCGTGTTTGTAGGGTGCCTTTTCCTGACATTAAGCAAGATGTTGGCTGCAGCTGTGTAACAACTTCCTGGTGCTCTGGAGCCTTAGGTTTGCTCATGTGGAAAACAACCAAACTGCTGCTTCTTAAACAGTCACTTAGTTATGATTTCTCAATCCCTGCCAAACCAGATGCCAGTTCCCCTGAAGCTGGGGTTGCTGCTGTGGGTCCCTGGAGCCGTGGGGAGGGATGTTAAGCCAGTGTTACACTGAGCTGCTTTTATGGGTCCTGCCATAAGAAAATGGGAGTTGTTTGCGCTCCGCGGAGCCGCCGCTGGATTTGCCTCCCACACGTCGGGCCCGGCTCGTGTCCTGGGCGCTGAATTGGATTAAATTCTTACTGTCCGTGGATTTTGGCTCTCGGCATTAGTGGATTGGTAATTGATATTCTCAATTTTAATATCCATTTTGGAGCCATATGGCACGACGTATTGCTGCGGGAGTCGCAGGCGGCGCTGCCGCCTTCCCGCCGGGGGGAGGTGGGCACTGGTGCCTTCAGGTGGTTGAACTGTGCCTGGGGGAGTTGTCTTTGGAGTCTCCAGTGCC